GTCTGGTTCAACTAGATCTAAAACCCTTGATCGATTTGGTCCCTGAAACAACTCATTCCCTTCTCACTGATGATCAAATACCACAACTGTGCCAGATTCTCAAGTGACTTCCTTGAGGGCCAAGCCACAAAGTGATGTACAAAGTGCTCAGCAGAAGGCGCCCCAAGTGCCTTCGGGATATAATGGGGTGACTCCCTGAAGCCTCTGGGTTCAGGAATGTTATTTTGGGGGGTGACATTGAAACGGAAACCTGGAGAATGAATAGAATGCATGTGAAGAGAGTAGGGAGACAGAATTGGCTTTCTCTTAAGCTGGCAATGACCGGGTCAGAACGATGTTGGGCCATGAAGCTGCTAAGCAGAACTGCGTCCCTCTTGAGATTTTATTCCCTCAAAAGTGCCCCCAAAGTGAAAGCCACGACTACCCTGCAGCAGAGCCTGCACATCCTCAACCTTAAATGATTTAGTGGTTGTCCCTCTGGAAAACTATGCTCATGCATCAAGAACGGGTTTGTTGCCCTGGCCGGTTTGGCTCAGCGGTTAGAGCGTTGGCCTGTGGTCCAGAGAGACCTGGGTTCGGTTCCCGCTAAGGGCACGTACCTCGGTTGCAGTTTGTCCCCGGCCCTGGTTGGGTTGTGTGGGGGGCAGCCACTCAATGTGTTCCTCTCGTGTTGATATCTCTCTCTCTCTCTCTCTCTCTCTCTCTCCCCCCCTCCCTCTCTCTCTCTTGCTCTATCTGAACAAAAAATGAAAGACTGTCCTCAGGTGAAGATAAAAAAAAAGAAAAAAGAACTGGTTTGTTCGCTAAAGTGGGCAGTGGATACGAGGACTCTACCAACTTAGGAGCCTCTCATTTGCTTCATCTCGCATCCAGTCTCACTTAAAAAAAAGCGTCGTCTTTCAAGATAACCCATGGAATTGAAGCAGTTGGTGGTAATTGTGTCACTTCAACAAGGGAAAATGTGGCCCCACACTGTGGAGTGCCTGCAGGTGACATCGATATTCTAAAGGAGTTCCTGCTCATTGTCATCACACCTGAATTTGGTCGTTGGGAGGTAGCTGCCCTTCAGTCTCAGCTAAGGGTTGACAAAGCTGTGGCCAAGAACAAGATGAAAGCTGGGTACCTGATGTCAGGGGAGGCTTTTCTGGGTTTCCCAGATGAAGCTGGGTCTCAGGCTCTCGTTGCTGGTTTGTTGGTGCCACCCTCCGCCCTCCTTCAGCAGGTCCACTCAGTAGCTGACGCTGATGTCACAGATGCTGCAGAGGAGTCTGTTTCCGGCCAGAGTCCACGGCAGCCAGCGGAAACGTGGGGAACGCACCCTTTGTTGATGCTCAAAGCCTGAAACACATTGCAGGAAGGAGCCGGACACTTTCTCAACCCAGAGCAGCAAACACAGGAAAGTCCCACATCTAAAATGTCCCATTTGTCTTTGTTTTCAATGAGGTGAAATATCTTAAGAAGTATAAATGCAGGTAATTGTTCCCAGATGACCTGAAGTCAACAGAACAGTCAAAGTATTGAGAGAGAGAGAGAGAGAGAGAGAGAGAGAGAGAGAGAGATTAGGGAGACAGACAAGGACCATCATGCACGGGCCCTGGGACATGTGGATGTGGATGGGGCACAGACACTGATGTTGAGGAACAGAACGGAAAGTGGGGACAGTGTGGTGAGGCCTGCAGCTGTAGGATGTGGAGGCTGAGCCATGAGAGCCACTTTGGGCTGTAGTACGGAGCTGTAAAAAGCTGAAGGCGATGGGCGCCATGAAAGGCGTACAGGGCACGTGGCCCCCAGCCCACCCCCTCAGGGCTCCCCGCCTGCACAGGCTGCACAGCTTCAGCCTGCCTTTCCCAGGTGGCCTTGCAGCTGGATGAATCCGAAACTCTGGGCAGCACATCAACGGATCACCAGGTATTTTCCCCAGCAGCCACCAAGAGTCCAGGCGGTAGCCTTGAGATGCCAAAGGCGGCCGGGGCTGCAGAATGACGTCCAGATCTCTGAGCCATCTCAGCAGTGCTGTTCTGGGGTCACAGCAGTGACAAGAAGGCTCTCAATTCCCTGTTCACCTGGGAGGATCCAACCAGGGCTGGGAGGGGCCAGACCATCCATTCTTCCATCCATTCTTTGGTCACCAGAAGTGTCTTTGCAGGGAGAGGGGTTAGTTACTAAAATCCTGATGAAGTGATTGAGCAAAGGGGTGACACCGCCTCCTTGTCAACCCGAAGAGGAGGAACTCCTGTCCCTGCGGAGCCCCAGCCCCTCCCAGCATACCTGACATTCTTTCTATACACCGAAAACCACCTGTCCCCAGGAAGGGAGCTCCCTGAGGCCAGATGGAAATAACACCCAGATGCTGTCTGGAGGAAGATTCAGTTAATTCCTCGGGCAAACAGGATGCCAGGAAGCAGGTGACAGCAGGAAATGCCAGTGTCCTCCTGGAGCCCTGAGCTCTGTCAGTCTCAAGCAGGAGCCCCAGAACGTCCAGGGGTGTCTGTGAGCAGAGGAGCTGGGCCAGGGGCTCTTGGAGGCTTGTGGCCTGGGATTCGGGAGTCCTGGGTTCTGTTCCAGCCTGTGTCACTGGCCAGTAGGACCGTGTCAGCGTCTTGCTTGGATCCAGGGAGCAGGATGAGAGAGTCAAACAAGTGGCTGCTTGAAGTCAGAATCTGGCACTACCAAGAGAACCAGAAACTTTTCTAGCCTTTGGTAGAGACAGAATCCCGACACCTGAGGATGGCTTCATCCGAGACAGGCCCCATCTTGCCCCACAGAAGTGGGCTCTCATGCAGAAGACACAGCTGTCCCCAGGCAGCAAGGTCCCCCCGGTGGACAAAATAGGAAGGAGTTAGGGTTAGTGGTGTCAGAGTCCAGGTGTTTTCTCATCAACACGGCCTCCCAGACCCCTGCTGTCCCGGATTTCCTTCCCATGCCGCCCGGGAGTGGGGGCTGGGCTGCTTCTCTGCAGATAACCCTCACGGCTCCCTAGGGGGTGTTTTTCCTCTCCCATCCTGTGCTGGCACCCTAGAGTTTGGCAGAGGCAATTGGCAGGGAATCCAGCCTGCTGAGTCACCCAGGATATGCGATCCCCTTCACCTTGGTTTGTGGCTGAGATGGGTGTGACTTGAGCCTCCATGGGGGTTGGCCTCCGGATGGCAGGGAGTCTGGAGAGAGTGCTGGAGATTCCCTCAGGCGAGCAGAGACCCAGGAGTTAGGAAGTTTCCAAAGGCGGGAAGAAGGCACTGCTGCCTAAGAGTGAAGGGTCACCCTCCCGGGCCCCTGTGACTACCTTGTCCAACCTGGAATGTGGCTGGGTGTTTCTGAGACCTGAATTCCTGCAGGAGCTGGGTGACAGCCCCCTCTCCCCGCCCTCAGCACACAGGGTGACCTGAACTCACAGAACTGACCACAGTGTCCTTCAGAGGAGACGTCCTTCACCTTCTGTCTTCACATCCTGACCCCAGTGTAGCTCTCTCTTTTCAGGGGACACCACATCGGTCTCCCCCTGAGCATGCAAGCGAAGGGCCAAAGCCTTGGAGAATCAGCTGACGGTGGTGGAATTTCTCTCATGATACTTTACAGAGAAGTAATACTCATACTTCTGTGACAACCAACCAAACTAGGATGCTTCCCTCCCCCTTCCCCCCCCTCTCCCTCTCTTCCCCCCTCTTCCCACCTTCCCCCCTCCTTCTCCCTCTCCCTCCCTCCTTCTCCCTCCCTCCCTCCCTCCTTCTCCCTCTCCCTCCCTCCTCCTCGCTTCCCCTCCTTCCTCCCTCCTTCTCCCTCTCCCTCCCGCCTTCTCCCTCTCCCTCCCTCCTTCTCCCTCCCTCCCTCCTTCTCCCTCTCCCTCCCTCCCTCCTTCTCCTCTCCCTCCCCCTCCTTCTCCCTCTCCCTCCTCCTCTCCCCCCCCCCCTCCTGCTCCCTCCCTCCCCCCCCTCCTCCCTTCTCCCTCTCCCTCCCTCCTCTCCTCCCCCTCTCCCTCCCTCCTTCTCCCTTCCCTCCCTCTCCCTCCCCCTCCTTCTCTCCCTCTCCCTCCCTCCTTCTCCCTCCCCCTCCCTCCCTCTTCTCCCTCCCTCCCCTCCTTCTCCCTCCCTCCCTCCCTCTCCCTCCCTCCCTCCTTCTCCCTCCCTCTTCTCCTCCCTCCTTCTCCTCCCCTCCCTCCTTCTCCCTCTCCCTCCCTCCTTCTCCCTTTCCCTCCCTCCCTCCCTCTCCCTCCCTCCCTCCCTCCTCTCTCTCCCTCCCTCCTTCTCCCTCTCCCTCCCTCCCTCCTTCCCTCTCCCTCTCACAAACTCCACTGAAATTGTGACTTTTGAACAGCTTCTCATCCCTCCCTCGCTTGTGTCTGAAACAAAGCCTGGGCCATATAAGGTGCTAAGTGGACACGAGCTCCTGAATAAACCACCACGAATGAAGAGACAGAGACGGAGACAAGAAGAGCACCCTGGGCAGTGAGTCCCAGGGGTCCTCCAAGGCCTTTCCTATTGTTGTTTCAGGAGCCACCCCAGTATCCTCCCCTCGTACTCCTCCTTTCCCCAAACGTGCTCAATCTGGAGTTTCTGAGTGTACAAGGATGTAAGAGGTTAGCAATGTGCAAAAGACAGTGGGGGAAGCAGAAGACTCAGGATGCGATGGAAAAGCCGTTGGTGGATTCAGTCTGGGAGAGTGGAAATGGCTCTGAGGCATGTCTACTTGTTGATGAGGCCGTGGTGCTGGGCCTGAGTGGGAGGCATTTGGGGAGAGTATCATGGGGTGGGAGCATCCATGCTCTCCTGGTTCTCAAAGGATTCCATGGTGCTGGAGAGATGTCCCTAGCATCTTGACCAAAGGGCCCAGCGTGTCTCTGCAGGCACGGCCAGAAGCAGGAGACTTGATGACATCACCCCTTTATCAGACAAGATCGGACGTGTTCAGGTGATAAAGCCTTGGATCATTGCCCCTTTATCAGATATAAAAGCACCTGCTGAAAACTGCAGACCTTCCTGGGATTCTGCTGCAGCCAACCCAGAGCCATGACTCCTCGATGCTACGTCTTGGGTAAGAAGGACCCAACCCCAATCCCCTCGGAGCCCATCTCCAATCTCAGCCTCCACCCCATCCCTAACTCGACAGAATCCTCCTCAGCACCCATCCACATCCCCAACGCCACATCCAGCCACATCTCTGATCCTGTTCCAAATTCAGGCACAATGCCACGAATATCCCACCTTTCCCCTCCAAACCCAGCCCTGCAGACTTTAATGTGGGCCATCTCCATAACAACCCAGTCAGCTCAGCGTCCGGGAGAGCCGGTCGCACCTGAGCCTCCTGCTCTCAATTCTTGCCCAGGAAACACCGACATTCCCAGAACTCTCAGCCCATTTCTCCCAAGAATCCTGCCAGCTCACCTCACCTTTCACACGTCCATAATCCCAAGACACCTGAACACAGGTGACTAGATCCCACCCTGGACTGCTCTGAACCTTTTACTGAACCTCAGTCTGGGCAGAGACCCCCCTCAGACCTCCCCTGCCCCAGGCTGGGCTCCTGAGGGGGACCCACGTCTGTCCCTTCAGCCGCACCTCACCCGTCTCCTCTCCCACAGTTGCCTGGGCTGTTCTCTGCGTCTTCACCCTCCTCTGTTCACACGGAGCACCAGGTGAGCCCAGGGGGGACAGGGACACTTGGGGGTGGGGGGTGGCTCCTGAGCCCTGCCTGACCTGCCATCTGGGCCACACCAGCTCTGTCTCCTTCAGTTTCCCCCACAGGCGCTCACCTGATGCTCTGCCAGTCACACACAAGGTGTGGGGACAAGTTCTACGACCCCCAGCAGCACTGTTGCTATGATGATGCTGTGGTGAAATTGAGCGAGACTCGAAAGTGTGGAAACTGCACCTTCAGGGTCTGCTTCGAGCAGTGCTGTCCCTGGTCATTCAAGTCTGAGGAGACCTTCCTGGTAAAAGTGAAAAGCCAGAATTGTTCCTCAGGCCTATTCTCGGATGACAGAGTTTGTTCCAGGTGAGGTCCTATCTCCTTCACAGGAATAGGGTGTGCAGGGGACTAAGAAGGGTCTGGACACCTGGTCTGTCCAGGATACAACCTCCCTGCCCTGTTCTGGGTGGCCCCTGTCACTGTCTATTCAATCTCTCTCCCATTTTCTCTTCTTGTTGCTTTCCCTTTTGGCTTTTATTTCTCTCTCACCCTCTTTGCTGTCCTCCTGTGTCCCTCTTTTCCCTTCCTCTGTCCATACTGCACCTGTCCCTTCATGGCTGGCCTTCTCTGTCTGCAGTGTTGGCCAAGAGAGGACCGGGTGACCAGATGACTACCGGATTCTGCTTCCTGAGACGTGGCCCTGGTGTTATATGATCTCAGGGACGTGGAGTGGATGTTTGGGGACAGGAGACACTCAGATTTAACCTGCCTTTCTTATTCTTTCTCCTGTAACACGCTACATCTGTCCCAAGTCGGTGACTAGTCCCCTTTCTGTGATTCTGGACAATAGTGAGAGACTATTTTGCTGTTGGAGTCAGTATCATGAAGCTGAATCCCGGAATCTGGGGCCCCTACTCTGAGAAAGTTCATTATCTTAGGCCCTTTTCTTCACCTGGTGCAAAACAAGGCATTTAATAAATTTTGCAACTTTACATATTCTGTCGTGGCTCATGAACGGTCGGGCAGGGTCATAAATGCTGGACACGCAGTTCTTTCTCTGGCTTCCAGGGTTGCGAAGTATGTCCACTGTTCCCACATATAAACAGATGTCAAGATATTCACCATGATCTGCTGGGTTCATGGAATAAAAATTCCACACAGGGCTCCGGTTCTTTCGACTTCAGCGGGGCGTGGGAGGGGGAGGGGGACGCGAACCACAGGGAGCGGAGGGCTTTGGCGCGGAGTCGGAGTCCTCTCCCACCCGGCTCACCAAGGGAGGGAGGTCGGGGACGGCGCGCCCCCTGGCGGGCGGCGGGCGCAGGACGGGCGCGCGGCTTGGAGCGTGAACCAGCGAGAGGTCCCAAACCCCCAGTAAGCTGTGGCGTGGGGGGCTGAAACTGTCTCGCAGAAGAATTTACTTGCCTCCAAAAATATCGTCTCGGAATAAACCTAAGAGGTGTCAGCATTTCCAAGTGTCCGCTTTCACCCCAAACCGCGCGTGGAAACTCCTTCCCGAGGTCCAGGACTCTCTCAACTACAACACAGGGGAGGGAACTGGGTCACCGGCGTCAAGTCCGAGGCCGAATTTCCCGAGAGAGGGACCTGGGGTCAGGGAGGAAGGGCGTCCAGGACACGGGGCCGAAGGGACCGGGCTCCCCAGCCTGTGGGATAGTGATTGGGCCTGGACAAGGGACACCCAGGACCCTGCACAGAGGTGGAAAATGCCTCATCCTCTCCAGAAACTCTTTAAATTGTGAAAGAAATTAAAACTATTTTCCATGTATTAATTTTATTTTTAAACAATCATAAAAATTGGGCAGAAAGGGCAGGGACTTCTGGGTCACTTCAGGGGGGTCTCTCAAAACAGGTCTCAGAGGACATGCCCCTCCCTCCCCACGTTCTGTTCCGGGCCTTTGGGAAATGCTGGTGTCATGGGTGTGGCCCAGACCCAGAGGCCTGAGCTGAAATGGCCTTCAGTTGAAGGTTCAACCATCTCGGAGCTGTTAGGTCCCCGACCCACCAACCACTGATTGAAGGGGTGCCCTGAAGGGCCCACCCTTCTCCTGAGGAGGAGGGCTGAAGCGTCAGGGACTGTCCAGTCTGACCTTTTCCTCTACTTTGTATTACTAGGTCCAGACTTGCCCCTTTCTAGAATCCTATTCATGGAAATAAATAAAATAAAAAGTGGGGCTGCTGCCCACCCATGGTCCTGTCTTCCTCCCCTCAAAAACACTATTAGTGTCAGTGCGACCTTCCAGAAGGTTCTGTGCATGTCTGCACGGACGGATGTTCATTCACTGTGGTGTGAGTGCCTGGCATCAAGCTTTAGGCTGCGGTGGAAATCCCTGACATAACGCTGAGTCATTGGTATCAGACATCCATCTCCAATGAACAAATTGCCAAATGTACAATGCAGCTACTAGCTAAACCAGCAGATAAGGAACCAGGCAGCTCATACCCATTTTGGAATCGAACCCATGACCCTTCCCTGCTTGGGCCAATGCTCTCCACTGAGCCACACCAGCCAGGGCAACACTCTCCTTTCCAAGGGTCCTAGGAAACCTACACTGACAGCTTGGGTGACCAGTGCGCCTCCCCTCCTGTGCTCTAATTCCTGCTCTTATGCTTTAAATTCACCAATAAAGAGTGAACCCTCCATGCCCGGCTAGTGTGGCTCAGTGGTTGAGCATCGACCCATGAACCAAGAGGTCTTTGGTTTGATTCCTGGTCGGGGCACATGCCCAGGTTGTGAGCCCAATCCCCAGTTGTGCCCAATCCCCAATGGGGGGCAGGCAGGCAGGTGGCCAATCGATGTTCTCGCTCATTGATGTTTCTTTCTCTCTGCCCTCTCTTCCTCTCTCTCTAAAATCAATCAAAAAGAAAAAAAAAGAAAAGTGATCTTTCTAAGCCCAAGACATCCCACCCCTGGACCCTAACAAAGGCAGAACCACACATCCACACCTACTCCCCCCGCTCCACTCACTGTGTGGCCCTCTGGTGTGCCAGGTACCCTCCAGGATCAGAGTAATAAATCTTAAGAGTTCTCAAGTGGTTTTTGCTGAGGTTCGTCCTGCAGTCATAATTACCTCCGAGGGCAGTTGAAATGTCGGTGGCAGCTCTCCACAAGTAAAAATGGCCCAGGTGAGGGCTCCAGGCATTCCCGCCTTGTAGCCTCACTATCAAAAGCAAAGATCCACACACCATTCATCAGTTGATAGACATTTGAGTCATTTCCAATTTTAGCCTATTAAGAATAATTGTGCCATGAATACCTTTGTACAAGTGGGTGTGAAGAGGTTTTGTGGTTTTGATTCATATTCCCTGGTGATTAAACATGAGCATCTTTTCATGGGCTTGGTGGCTATTTGTATGTCATCTTTGGAGAAATGTCTTCAAATCCTCTGCCCACTTTTTAATTGGTTGTTTGGCCTTTGTTTGTTTGTTTTAATCCTTATACAAGGGCATTTTTGCATTCATCTTCAGATAGAGCAGGAGGGAGAGAGGGAGGAAGACAGAGAAACATTGATGTGAGGGAGACACATCGACTGGCTGCCACCCACACAACCCCAACCGGGGCTACGGAGAAACTGCAACCAAGGTAGGTGCCCTTAGAGGGAACCGAACCTGGGACTCTCTGGTCCACGGGCTGACGCTCTAACTGCTGAGCTAACTGGCCAGGGCTTATTTATTTTTTTTCAAAAGTAGGAAACAATGTTTACCACAGATTCTTTAATCATATTGGTTTGATACAGTTATGATGTAGGCAATTTCAATTTACAAAACTCAAATTTTTCCCAAGAAACAAACATTGTTTTGTTTTGTTTTTTATCCTAACCTGAGGACATTTTTCCATTTTTGTTCAGTTAGAGTGGGAGGGGGGGAGAGAGAGAGAGAGAAACATCAACGTAAGAGAGACACATCGAGTGGCTGCCACCCACACAACCCAACCAGGGCCGGGGACAAACTGCAACAGAAGTACATGCCCTTAGCGGGAACCGAACCCGGTTCTCTCTGGACCGCAGGCTGACGCTCTAACCACTGAGCCAAACTGGCCAGGGCACAAACATTGTTTTATTTTAGTCATTTTATTTGGACAACTAAAAAACAATTACATGTTCAGAAGCAGTGTACAATGAATGAGAAATCAAACCAGTAACTTTATCATGTATCCCCCCTCTTCTTTACAATGAAAGCACAAAAAAGGCTTTCTGCTTTAAGGGAAAAGTCAGAAAAATAGGCCAATATATATTTTTTTGTCTCCATAATAACATAAACAGCCACAAGAAATCTAACTGTAATAAGAGAAACTGGATGTTGGCTTGCACATATTCATTAGACAATAGGCCATTGGACTATAAGAGCATAACTCCACCTGCCTTCACCTGATACTCTTGCAATTTCACTTACAGGTAACAGCGAGTTAGCTAGGTCCACATGGAGCTAATTCACACTCATTATGTACTGCTTCATGTTTGTCTTGAAGCAGAGACCAACTCTGAAAGGCTGATGCTTTTCTCTGCTTGCTTGTTTTTTTGGTACATGACCCTAGCGGTAACCGAACCCGGGACTCTCTGGTCCGCAGGCCAACGCTCCAACCGCTGAGCCAAACAGGCCAGGGCTCTGCTTGCTTGTTTTAGTCTGTAAGTTGCATACTATCTGAGGCATAAGCATGATACTCAGGTCTTCACTTCAGGAGTTGAACTATAGATGGAATCGGAATTCTCTGAAGCAATTTCTTCCAGCTCCTCTTCCACTGTCTCTGGACAACTGATCTTTGGCTTTGCCAGTTCACCACTGTCTCCTTCAGGAAGCACACATTTCCAAAGGCCAAATGTTTTTCCTACCACACTTTGCCGCAGTCTCTGAGTTCCATCTTCAGAACCACTGGCCTAGAGTTCTCCATCAGGACTAAATCTCACGCAGTGCATAGGACCAAAGTGTCCTTTGTAGGATTCTAATTCTTCTCCACTCTTCTAATCATACTTATAAAGTTTAAAGTCTTCACCACCTGCAGCAAGAAATCCTTTCTCAGGGTGAATAGATGCAGAATTGATGGGTGCAGGAGCTTCAAAGGATTTGATTGGGTCCAAACTTACTACACTATGAAAAGCAATAGATCGTCCATAAGTTATTACCAAGATCTCTCCCTTAGGAGTATATTCCATTCTGCTAACAGACATATTACAATTTAGAGATTTCACCTCTGTCATAGAGGAATGATCCCAAAGGCAGACAGTTTTATCATCAGCTGGATGAATCTGCTTCTCCCCACTGCACCATAGAGCCTTTTTAATCCAGACCGATGACCACTGATCTCCTTAGGTTCTGCTTCAGGTTTGCTCAAGTCACATATGCGTAGCAGTTTGTCCT